GCCTGTAAAATTGAAATTATTATGATAACAATATGACTCTAGTTACAGGGTGTGTCATAGTTGGGCAGCCTCAACTCGCACATTCTTTGCTTGCCAGCACACTTAATACCCTGTAGCCAGAAATATAGAAATATTTAAACATGAAACATGTTTTGCTCGCACAATTATATATTTACAAACTAATTGTCGATTAAAATGCTCGAAAGAATTTGAATAATTATTGGCTTGTTAGGTCTTAACGCCTAAAGACTTTGACCCGAATGCAGCTGTGACCTCCATTTAATGGGTGTTTCTCATAAATATATATGCATATATGTACATGCATATGTATGTATGTATATCTCTGCATATTATATTAGCAACAAATAAAGACAAATTATAGGGTATTCGGAATTTATGTGACATGCTTTACTTCAGCTAGAATTATCCACTTAACGACTTCGATATTTTACGCTCTTAACACAATTTATCAGGCTTATACGATTATATAGTAAGTGTGCGCATATATTCTTTTTGAGGAGTAGCTGCCACTCATACGACAGCGACAGCGCCAAGGCAACAACAAGCAGCAACAGGTTTTCTTTTGCCACACGCAAAAMCACTCAGCGTTCACTCTCTCTCTCTCTCTCTCTCCTTATATGCCCCTCCCTCTCGCCCCTTTGCTTGTGTTCTCCCCTACGCTCCAGCAACTGGGCATACGACACACTCACCAATCAATGTTAACTGCTTGAATGTGTTGCGCGTGTTTCGTTCAATTCGTCAATTATCATTTTGCTCAACCGTTTCATGTTTAGAGTCCATGCGATTTGTCCAGCAGAAGCAGAAGAAATTATTAGCATTTGCGCATCAATTGAGTGGACATGCACATGCATGCAAAAATACACACATACACGCGCGCATAAATCTGCGCAGCGCTGTGACGTCACAAGCTAAAAAGCACTGACACTTGAGACGGCCGCCGCATTGACCCCAACCCCAAGCATTTCAGTTGAGTTGTTGTTCCAATGTCGTTGAGTTCAGAAGCTCTCGCACGCGCGCTCTCACGTCGCTCCTCCTTGCTCTCCCACACTCCGCCTGTCCCACACTCTTACTGTTGCTTGCTCTCTGAACTGCATTCGCTTATGCTTTGCATGTATCTACCGACATACATAAACGCATACATTTGTATGTGTATGTGTATGTCTATTTATATGTATAATAATTGGCGGCGTCTTACACTCAATGCTTTTAACTCAACTTTTTGCGCGCCTTCCATTTGATGGATGTGCTAATATGTGTGTGTGTGCATGTTTGCTTGTACATTTCTGCATATGTATGTATGTATGTATGTACGTGTGTATGCTTGCTTGTGTGTGTTCATTTCAACGATTATCTAATTGCACGTTGTAATTTAACGAATAATAAGAAAAGTAAACAAAATGTTGATCAAAATTTCACTTGGAGCACGCCAATTCCCATGTACAGTTGCCTCCGTTAATTGCTTTTGTTTTTGGCCTCTTACGTTTTGGCATCTTCATCTGGTTGTTTACAGATCGGCTAAAGATCAAGGCAAAGCGCCAGCGTCTAAAACTGCCTGTTTGCCAAAAGCAGAAGAGCAAAACAAACACGAGGCTGTGCATGTGTGTGTGTGTGTGTGTGTGTGTGTGTGTTTATCTGTTATGCATATATGTATGTATTTATGTGTACATATGTATGTATGTATGTGTATGTTTATGTTTTCTATTTGATTCTTATGTATTTGACATTGGTGCCCTGCTGCTTCGCTTTGACGTCACGAATGCCACTGCGACAGGGCTCGGCACGTGTGCGTGTGTGTGTGCGCAAAAAGGATGTATCGAGTTAATGTTAGCCTGTCGAGTCGATGTTCAGCTAACGGTAAACAGTCGCCCACTTTCCCATACACTCAGCTGCCACTCGGCATAAGCAAATTAGCAAGCAATAACGAACTAAGTCACTAAGCGCACTTAAGTGCATCGCAAATAGCACAACGTACCGAGAAGGATGTGCAGGATCACGGCGCGCATTAGGCACGGCTCTGAAAGCATGTGCAGCAGCGCACAGTGGCACCCAGTTGGCGAATAAACAGTGAAAACTGCAAATCCCTAAACAAACAAATATTACTTCCGATATACATACATATACATACATATACATACATACATATATGTAGTTCTTATGTTGAAGATATCTTAAAGTTATTTCTGCTAATTCAGCTTGTTTATTGTTTGGCTCTTCGATCCAACTTATCGATATATTTATGTACATATGTACATATATTTGTGTCTAGCGGAAAATACCCAAAACTCGCGTTTGACACAGAAAACAATTGGGCTTTAGGGTGAGGATGAAAAAAAGGCAACTTAGGCACTATTTAGCTCTAGAGGGGTTGCTGCCTTGATTTACCTATTGATTTAACAACGCCTTGTTATCCTGACCTAGTCAAAATTTTGCCCCATGCGCAACTCTCTCTCTCTCTCTCCCTGCCGCTTTTCTCTCTTTGTACTCCCTCTGTCTGTCTGCTCTTTCTCACTCTCTCTCTTTGTCTCTCTCTCTCTCTTTCTCTATGTCCTTTGTAGGAGCTGTGGTTTGCGTGCCAAAACTCACGTCAGCCGCAGCGGCGTCAGCTTCAACAGACACTGTGGCTGTCCCCCTGTCTGTGCCGGTAAAGATGACAAGTTATCTTCTTCGGTTACTCCCTGGCTCCCTCTGCTCGGCCCGCTCCTTTTTCGACTGGAGGCATGTCCAGCTTTTGTGTTCAAGGATATTCAACTGTGTTACTTTTATTGATTTTGTCTTTCAACGGATATTCCCATTGAGGAGCGTTTAATTTTGGGTCACGGTCCGAACCCCTTCGCATTTATTAACTGCAAATTTTATGCTAATGAGCTGGGTTTCATTGAAAATAAGCCGGTGCCAAGGACTTCCTCAAAACCACTTTTAATAAATATATTTTTAGTATTAATATTAATACGGAATACTACGAATTGAGAGCCCAAGGTCAGCGCTTATATTTGTTTTCCAACTAACCATTTGTGAGCTGGTTTGTCCACAGTGGAAATCCTCGAATCCATTAGCCCGCCGCTGCTCTCTCTGTCCATTTGTCTGTACGACTTTTCCTCTTAATCGGATTATCTCTTGTTAGCAATTCATGGAAAGTACCACTCGTCATCATAAGCTCCTTGCCAACTGTGTATGTACTTTTCGATGCAAACCCGCCCTCTTGACATCTAGGAACTCTGTTGGCCTTGGGAGCTTTACGATAGCCTGTCCAGCTAATGTCCACTCCGTCCAGCCTGTACTTACATAGTTCCCGCACATCATTAAAGTCACGAAAGTGATTATAGATTATACAACTGCCTATGCATAGTTAATGTGGCACGCAATTCGTGTGGAACCCTTGCCAGCTGTTGTGCTTCTCGCCCGGACAGGGCAATGGGTCTTGATGCTTGGCCCAACAGCAGAAACCGTTTCGAAAGCCCGTGCAGTCCACATTGAGCAAGTACCGCTGGCAGGAGCGATAGCTGGTAATGAAAATTGAATTTTAGCTTTATTTCCGATTAGAGAGTTTGACATTATTTGATTGAGATTGAAGAAAGCTCAGACTCGAAGCCAAGTGAAATGAATTGATTTAATGTACTCTGAGTTAACAACCATTCGAAAAGGTCTACAGACGACAGCCACGCCCAGTATGAACAGCACAGTTGACACACCCATTGGTACTTCGAGGAATCTGACTGCGACTTGTGCAAGGCCTGTTCAGTGGACTGGGCGTATGGCTAGTCTTATGACTCATCTGTCACTTTATCCAGGGGCATTGGCAAGGACACGGCGCTGGAGCTGGCTCGGTGTGGCGCCAGCTCAGACTGGACTCCACACTGGACCTGGCGTTGCTGGAGTCTGTTGTCTATGGTCGCCTGCAGCCAATCTTAGCTGCTCTTCACTAGTTGCGGTCAACTGCTACAATTTGGACTTGGTCCGGTTCGACCTGTGGATCCCATCTGGTTTCTGGATGCTCTCCCACTCTTTCTTCAAGTCAACGCAGGCCAGATGCAACTCTACCTGGTCCTGAAAACAACATTGATCGAGACTACGTGCGACTTATACGGCGATTCCTTCCAGCGTCCGCTGGTACCGTGGGCTAGGAATGTCGAGACTGCCGACTGGCTTTGGCAAGAGAGCAAACGCCTTGTGGGTATATCCAGTTCGGCATACTCTGTACAAACTGTCTCGTTGAGTGAGAGCAGATAAAAATTAATGAAAATTTACAGAAGTTAAATGAGGAAATTCAGAATGATAAAGTTCCAATTAGAAAATAGATTTAGTGGATTCTCTACTTATATTACGATATAGAAATCAATATCTTCCTTCTTCTTCTACGATGTAAACAAATCAATATCTTTCTTCTTCGTCCTCAACTTTGCTCAAGCTTAGAGCATTTTGAAGTCGGCTTACCTTAATGACTATGTTTGAAGTCGAATTTAGGTAGTTCCAAGCCCTGCGCGGCGACTGGAAAGCCAGCGAGAGCATAACAGCTCAAGAGAGACGACAGCGACGTCGACGTCGGCAGCGACAGCGACAGTGACAGCAGCAATCAAAACAAACACGGCGAAGAAGCCGCAGAACACGAAGACACAAATAAAGCGGAATGCAAGTAAAGTTATTCAACGGCAGCGCTGTCGCGACGCTGGCAGCGAAGCGAGAAAAAAAAAGCAACGTTGCTTCAAGTGAAAGTCGAAAGCATAATTCCAAGAGAGGCAGCGCGAAAAGAAATTAATGCCAGCAGCAACAACAACAATAACCGCAACAACAATAACAACAACGACAACTGTAATGGGCTGGACTTTGAAAACAACGACGACGATGACGGCGACGGCAACGGCGACGGCAACGTGAGCGTCGACTGCGACGCATGCACATGCATAAAGTTATGTTAATAACAGACGCCAAGTAAAGCCGACTGCGACGCCGCTTAAAATTATATTCAGGTTATTTTGACGTGTTAGCGATCAAGTCGCTGGAGCCATGGCAATCGGGAGCCGCTGTTTCTTTCAGTTGGCTAACACCGCGCGAGACGCTTGGACGCAACGGTAACAAGAGCAGCGCAGCAAGACAATCCCGGACAAACAGATCCCAAGCTGATCGAATAAAGTGTGTGAGCGTATGTTATAGAGAGAGAAAGAGAGTGAAAGAGAGAGAGAGAGAGAGAGAGTGATATAGAGAGAGAGAGAGACCGAGCGTATAGCCGGCATCAATCCGTCAAGTGCTTAAGTCAACTCTCGCCGCTGTTGTTGTTCGACCAAATGTGTGAAATTAGCGCGTGAGGAAGTGCGGCGACAGAAGAAGAGAACGAGAAAGAAAAGGGTCAGCAAGAGGTATGGTGGCACGGTATGGTGTGGCCTGGTATGTGGGCACGTCGAGTGTACGAAACAGCAATTTCGAAAGTCTTGTTTTCGAATGCGACATAGAGAAACATGCATGTCTCCATGTTATCGAAAGGCAAGCTTCGATAACTACGGCGAACGTTCAATTTAAATATGTATAGAAAATAGTTGGATTCAATTTGAATTCCCTGTGGATTAATGTGGCAAAACATGTGTTATGAGAAAATATTTTCTCTATAGGCTAAAACAGAGCACTTTGAGAAAAATCGATCGATGATCGATAACTGGGCAAAGTTTTGAGCAAATAATTGTCAGCTAATATTTATTGTTATTATAAGTCTATGCACTAACAATGGAAGCTGCATATGTACATACATATATGTATGTTTGTGTATATATGTATATTGCATTACTATATTGATAAATTACTCTACTTTATAGTTTGGAGCTTTTCGATATATTAAAATTATATGTAACACATTTAATTTTTTTCAATAAAACCAATTTATTTCATAAGACACGCCAAGTACTTGTTAAGTCTTATTATCAAGTACTTATCATATCGATAACAATATCGAATTTTGTTTATCGATTCAAGTTATTATATTCATACTTCTACATGCGCTAGCGGTCTATAAACAAACTAGTTCAATAATATGTGCATCGATAAATTGATCGATACCCCAACATATCGATAATTGATTACCAGATGATATTGATAAATCAAGCATAGCGTTAACTGTACTCTGCAAAGCTAATTAGAATGACAGACAAATGTCGATTAATATATCCATTATCGATAATATGCGTGACAATTCCTTTCCCTTCTTCTCGCCCCCAGGCACATCGCACAATCCTTCCATTCCATTGCTAGGCACAACGAAGGGTCTCGCACATCACACACACACGCATACAAACTAAAGTCGTGTCCCAGCTATGTCGGAGGCTGCCACGCCCACGACAACGACGCCTGCTTACGACGACCCAACCGCCGAGGCGGCCGAGAAGGCACTCTGCTTCCGTGGCATCTGGGCCTGGTTGGTGCTCCTGTTGCTGATCTTCCTGTGCATCGCGTTCGTCATGTGGCTGCTGCGCAAGTGCATCCAAGGTCCGGTCTATCGCAAGGCGAACCGCATCGACGGCAAGGTGGTCATCGTGACCGGCTGCAACACGGGCATTGGCAAGGAGACGGTGCTGGAGCTGGCTCGGCGCGGCGCCAAGATCTACATGGCCTGCCGCGATCCGGCACGCTGCGAGGCCGCTCGCATTGAGATCATCGATCGCACCCAGAACCAGCAGCTGTTCAATCGCAGCCTCGACCTGGGCTCGCTGGACTCCGTGCGCAACTTTGTGGCGCGCTTCAAGACGGAGGAGACGCGCCTCGACCTGCTGATCAACAATGCCGGAGTCATGGCCTGCCCGCGCACCCTGACCGCGGATGGCTACGAGATGCAGTTGGGCGTCAATCATCTGGGCCACTTTCTGCTCACCAATCTGCTGCTGGATCGGCTCAAGCAGGCGGCGCCCAGTCGCATTGTGGTGGTCAGCTCGGCGGCTTATCTGTTCGGCCGCATCAATCGCGAGGATCTGATGAGCGAGCGCAAGTACAGCAAGTTCTTTGGCGCCTACAGCCAGTCGAAGCTGGCCAACATCCTGTTCACGCGGAAGCTCTCGATGCTGCTGAACGGCACCGGCGTCACGGTGAACTGTTGCCATCCGGGCGTGGTGCGAACGGAGCTGAATCGTCACTTCGCCGGGCCCAACTGGACGAAGAGTGCCCTGAAGGTGCTCTCGCTGTATTTCTTCAAGACGCCGCGTGCTGGGGCCCAGACTTCGCTGCGTCTGGCGCTGGATCCGGCGCTGGAGGGCTCGTCGGGCAACTACTACTCCGACTGCATGCGCTTCCCACTCGTGCCCTGGGCTCGGGACATGGACACCGCCGACTGGCTGTGGCGCGAGAGCGAAAAACTCGTCGGCCTGCCGCCCATCCAGAGCGACTCCAGCAATCAAAATGGCCAGAACGGCAGTGGAGCGCGTCCAGCTGCTGCTACGGCCGCTTCAGCTGCAGCTCCGTCTACAGCTCCGGGTGACTCGGTGGAGACTGTTGTGGTGGATCGGCCTTCCAGTTAGAAGAATGGAGTGCTTCAACTGTCATCAACGGCTCAGTGCATCCAGTTAACATCTTTCTTTGTTTTTGTTTTTTTTTTTTTCTTTCTCTCTCTCCCTTTTTCTCGAAGAACCTAGTCAATTGGAGATTAAAATTATTATTGACTAGGTCTATATATGGCTATTATAACACTTACATATATTTAATGTACCCATACATATACATACATACATGCATACATACATGTGTCCAGTAATTGAACTCTTTTTGTGTGTCAAAATAAACGTAAAATTAAGAACAACAAAAGAAGACAAAGTGGGCGAAAACAGAAGCAAATTCATTGAAATCGCCGCCGTTTCAGCAGCTGCTGCTACGGCCGCGGCGATTTTTTCTTCTTCTTCTTCTTCGTTGTCTGTCGCTCGCGTTCGTTCACAAGCCGTTAACAGAAACAAAAGCAAAAAGCAAAAAAGCAAAAGCAAAAACAAACACAAAAACAAAACAAAAATCGCAAGCAACAGCATCGAGAGTGCAATTAAACCCATGCAATGCCCGGGGGGTCGTTTTGGTCCGCCAGTTTTATTTTGGGATTATCGTATCGTACACATGTGTGGGCTCATAAGCTGCTGGGCTTAAGCTGTGGCTGCTGCTTTGGGTCTCTGGTCAGCAATTAGACACGCCTAATGGAGACTTTGTGCAGTTTATGGCTGTTATCAGAGCGGCACAAATAGCGCTAATGCGCTGTGATTTCGACTGGTCAAAGGGCCTGGAATACTTTTACATTTTCACAAATGAACTTACTAACTAAAATGCTTAACTTGTTACATATTGCAAATTTTGTTTTGTTTCAAGCTGTGCATTGTTCTTGCTAAGCGAGCTACATAAGGGTTAAGCCAGAACAAAACAAAAACTGAACGAACTGCGAACAATTACACAAAAAAATTGCATGGAAAATTCCATTCGATGTGTGTGCGTGTGTGTGTGTGTGTGTGTGTTCGTGTATGCCTTTGGGCTGCGAGCGCCCCTTCGATTACACACACACGCACAACCAACTCAGAACCCTTATTGTAAATGTATCCAGCATTGAATTAATTTTGTATCTATGAGGTTTTGGCATAAGGAAAGTCCTATTGACAAAGATGAATATACATATGTATATGTATGTAAATATATGTACATATATGTATTTATGTACATAGATGCATACATACATATGTACATATGAGTGGACATTTCTTAAATTTACATACACATACATACATACATTTCTTTCATATGTATATGTGCATGTGCATGTACATATTTATGTATGTATGTATGTATTTATGTACATACGTATGCACTTCTACGATCTGGGCACGCATTGCCCAAAAAATAAAAAAACCAACAAGCAAACCAAAGCTCAACAACAACAACAAAAACTCTGCGTAGCCAAAATGCATATGCAAATCATAACGAAAGTTTCTTAAGCAGCCATCTGGCAACGCCCTACTAATTATGCCAAGCCCAGCAAACAAGCCATATAAATAACGGCGCATACTTATACGCACATACGCTAAAAAAAAAAAATCATATAGCAAAAACTTTCCATACATACATATGTAAGTTTGGACGAGAAAATTCGATTTTTTTTGTTCTTCCACCAGACGACATGTTGCAATTTGATACGGAATATGCCATTTTCGCACGTACCACTCCACCGAGGGCCAACCACATACATACATATGTACATATGTACGCAGGTACACATGTACGTAGAAATTTTCATGCGAGTTTCATTAATTTAATGTTTTTAAGGGAGACTTAATATGTATGCTAATTATGTACATACATACATACACATGTATACATACGTACATATGTATGTGTGTACGCTTAAGAAAAGGCAAACAGATCGAGTAACGGGAACAGCTGCTCTAGTTTTTAGTCATCTTCGCCTTTACGTACACATGTATGTATGTATGTACATATGTAAATACGTATGTCTGTATATACGTGTATTTCGTAATGCAACCAACACACAAACTAATGATGAGTGTATAGACACTCAAGCCAGCAAAGAAATAGTTTATGGCAAAATAAATATTGCATTTTATGATGCAATTGCCAATCGAAAGATAACAACAAAGTCGATTAGAAATGAAACAAAACGGGAAGAAAGATTAAAAACGCTGACGCCCTACCGCAACCAATTCGAATGAATATACGCTTGTATGTATGTACATACATACATATGTATGTACATATGTCTATAAGGCATGTCCAGATAGATATACATACATACATGTACATATGTATGTGTCTTTGTATGCATTGTGTTTATAGCGCCTATTTGCATATTGAAACTGCAAACGTGACTGAATTAGCGCGTTCTCATTCTGAATCATCTCCTCCTCTGCCTTCTGCCTTCCCTCTCTGCCTATCTCTCTCACTCTCGCTCTCAAGATATGCAGCGCATATATAAACTTTTGCCACTTTATTGTATGCAATATATATTTTGCATTTTATATTTCTTTATATTTATAGCCAAAAATTTTATTGCATATGTATGTATGTATATTATAAGCAAGCGGATTGTTCTGTCCATATAGCAAAAGCAGTTCATGCCCAAATTAAATGGAAAATTCGATGTTTCTTATTCCTTATCATTATTATTATTTTTTTTAACTAGTTAAGTTTTACTTATTATATGTAGTTAGTTAGTCTCTCTATATTTCTCGGAATTATTGCTCTAACTTTTATTATTCTACAGACATGCTAGTTGTTCTTATGTAATTGTTCATACGCCTATGTATGTATGTATATATGTATGCATGTTTGTTTGTATCCTTATCAAACTGAAAAATCAAAGTTTTCTTTTTATGCACATGCAGTTGTTTCTCTTTAAACTCTACTTACTAATTTTGTTTATAGGGCAAAGGCGGTTTATACTCTATTCAAATGAAATACTCGATATTTTCATTTCTTAACTTATTATAATTGATCAAGTTTTATAAGAAACTTAATAAACTTAAAGCTCTCTCTCTCTCTTTCTATCTTAAAGAGCGTCCACTATTGACTCGCCCTGCCCTTACAAAGTTCGCTTAACTGTTTTTATTTTTCTTTCTTCTTTTATTGTAATATTATTTGCCATTTGCCATTTGCCATTTGCCAGCTCAGAAAACAATTTGCAATTATGAATTGGTAACACTTGGTGCTGCCCCCTATTAGGTTTGCTTAACTTCGGTTGGGTATTTGTGCTGGCACCTGAGGGTATCTGAATGTGCGCAGTTCGATTGTTTTCCACCTGCTTCCTCTGCTGCCACTTCCCCTTCATCCTCATTCTCTTCCATCTCTTATCTCCAAAGTCTGCAACGTGCAAAAAGCTGCAAATGACGTTTTGCGATCTTCCAAGCTAATTAAGTAACCGTTTTTTCTTTCTTTTTTTTTACCACATTTTCATATTCAAGCAGATATGTATATATATTTATACATATGTTTATACGTATAAAATGCAAAAACTTACCGTTGGGGCAGTGGAAAATTTTTTAATGGGGCTTAATATGAATGTTCGCATTCAGCTGTGAAAATCGGCAAAACTTAATGGAAAAATTTCTTATGTGATGAAGTGTGTGTAAAAAAAATTGATAATTGCAATGAAAGATTCGAGCTTATTGAAAAATCTAGGCATGTTGAGATCGGATCGACTTTAGTGACATCCATTTACGAAATACATACATATGTATACATACATATGTTGGCATTTTAGTTCATTTGTGTTTGTTTATTTTATTATTTGACAATTACATATTAATACGTCTGTTTTATTTAAACAAAATTTTCGAAATTCGTGTGCTTCTTTTTTTGGTTTTCTAAATTGTGCGCATTAGCCGAATCGAGGATGTCAAAACGTCTGCAAAATATTCGCACCGTAAGTGCACTAAAACTATATATAAATTTGCATTTATAAATATGTGCATATATGTATGTACATATATATGCATATATATCTCTGTGTACATATTTGATTTGTATTATAAATAGTGGCAAGCATTTATAGTTTAATTCATTTTGCAATTGGCGCAGAAATGCGCTTAACTTCGAACTGCTTGGCAACGTGACAAAAATGTGTTTAACCATAAATTAACATACATACATAAATACATACATACAACAAGCAAGTGCATACACACATACACATAGACACACACGTGTATCCCCAAACATTCATACATATGTACATGCATTATAAATGGTACATATTATAAACAATAGACATAGTACATATGTATTTATTCTGTTTGCAATTGTTTATTTCTTGCGAAACACCGATTAAGTATACAAGTTTAAGGCACGTGTTTCAAATTTAATTTGTACATGCCAAAAAAAAATCCTTTGGTTCACAAACAATGTGCAGAGGAGGAGCTCTGTCGCGGCTGTATTTGAAAAGGTGGCGCCGTGGTCTTGACAACAGTTGTGATACCGCTGCGCATAGCGAACGCTTGTTAGTCCACAGCGCTGCCACCTTTTGAAGTTTGCAAACGTAAGGAAATTATCCAAATACGCTTAGGCGCCCTAAAGACAATTATTGTAAAAAGAATAATTTGGTCAGCCTTGAATTACTCGCAAAATGTTTTATTATTGTTTTACAATTAAATGGGTGGCATTTATTACACTTCCGTCACGTAAGATGTCTTACGTAAGACCAAATGTCGCACGTAAGACCGCTATGCGTCACGTATGCATGAAATTAGTGTGGCAGCCAACTTAACGTCGTGGCGATATATACCAAAAACAACGAAACATTCGAGCCAGTGTGACCATTGTTAGACGATGTTGCCACAATCGACGAAAATTGTGATATTGAAGTGGAAGAATTAAACTTGGTGGCAAGAAAGTCGCGAAAGAGTGTTGACTATTGTAAGAAAAAAGTATAATTTGAACGCGCCAAAAGTAATTTACCAACTAGCGAATTGTTTACAAATATTTTGCAGTACCCGGAGACCGCAATTCATGCGAAAAAGATTTCCTGCAAAACGCAACTTACATCTGTCACACGCACACTAATAAAAAGGAAAAAAGAAAAAAAATTGGTGTGCTGGAGGAGAGGTACGCCACGCCGCGCCGCATTGAGAAAACAACAAATTGTGTTTGTTGCAACGAAGTCGGAGCGACGATTAACTTTAATTAACTAAATACACAGAAATATATAATTTTATCCAAGCATATAGTATATATATATATTAGTATATACATATATACACAGCGATATGAACTCGAAGCGTATTAAATACACTACGCTGTCCAGCCCGACAGATGCGCCGTCCAAGGAGGAAATTGTCCCAGTTATCATACAGCATGAAACTGACGACGTAGATGGCAATGGAGAGACAACACAGTATACATATGCCTATACGACTACTGAGGATGACGACACTGAAACGGCTGTGGTGACTCTTAGCGATCGTGATCACGAGGCACTGGCCAATGCCCAGGAGGTGATCATCGATGAGAACGGGCATGCCGTCACCCTGCAGCAGCTGGTGGAGAACAGCACCGTGGAGGAGGTGGAGACTATTGAGCAGGGCGATGGCACCCACACCATATTGCACATTGTGCCCAATATAGGCGACGAAGAGGAAGATGACGAGGATGAGGATGGGGAGGCCATCGAGCACGATGAGGACGAGATTGTGGGCGTGGAGCAGGAAGAGGGCGATGAGCAGGACGAGGAGGAGGATGAAATGGGCTCGATTGTCTTTGAGGGCACCATCGATCACAGTCCCGAATCCGATTCGCAGTCACGCAATAAGACTTTCTATTGTCCCAATTGTGGCAATTGCTATAGTGCCGCCGGCTCCTTGAAGCTACACATGCGCGCCTGTTTGCGCCAGCGCAACGAGGTCTCTGCCGAGGACCGCAAGTGCAAGGTGTGCAGCAAGATCTTCAACTCGGTGGCCTACCTCAAGGAGCACATGATGCGTCACACTGGCGAACAGCCGCATCGCTGCACGCGCTGCTATCGCAAGTTCGTCGACGAGGCCAAATACAATGCGCACATGGACTCGCACAAGCACCAGGACAAGCTGGAAGCTGAGGCTGAGGCATTGGCTGCTCAGCACGGCGGCAAGAAGGTGGTCGTCAAGGAGTTCACCTGCTCCTTCTGTTCACAGAACTTTACCGTCGTGTTCGATGTGGGCCAGGTGAAGCGCCGCTATGCCTGCGACGCTTGTCGCGACAAATACTCAAATGCCGAGGCATTGCGCCAGCACAAGCAGCAGGTGGAGGAGAAGCGTGAGTTCAGCTGCGAGCGTTGCGGCCGCAAGTTCGTCTTTGAGGGCTTCCTTCAGCGTCATCTGCCCACCTGTGATGGCAGCATCAAGCGTCGCCGCGACATGAAGTAGAGGTGGCAGCAACGTGATGGCAGTTGGCGGCGTCGGCGCAAAAGATCTGATAGAGCACTCGAATGTGATTTTGTGGAGGAACAGGAGGAGCAGGTGGAGGAAGATGAGCTGCAGCAGGAACATGTGCTAATATCACCGCCAATGCGTTACGTTGTAATTAAACAGGAGGAACTTGAAGAGCTGGAGGAAAGTGTTGAAGATCAGTAGGAACAGCAGCAGCCCTAGAAATTGGCCAATGAAATTGAAATCTTTTATTATGCACACCAATAGACACACACACACACACAATTTCTTTCTTTAACACTTCGACGGAGGGAGGAGTTATAGTTAAATACTAGCTTATAGGCAGTCTAATACGTCTCCAGCTGGCAATTGCACACGCACACCTTTGCACACACACACGCACACCTTTACAAACACACACACACACACACACACCTTTACACTCACACACACACACACCCATGCATACACAGACGCATACCTTACATACATACACACACACACACACACTATTTTCTTTCTTGAAATACCTTTACACAGACGCAAACCTTACATACCTTTACACACACACACACACATACTATTTTCATTCTTGGCTAGCTGGGGCTAAAATACACATATAAATAAATATATGCATAAACACCTATATGGATACGCCGACGAGCAGTAAAATCTAACTTTATATATAA